GAAGAGGGTGTGGAGAAAAGGGAACCCTCCTACACTGTTGGTGGGAATGTAAATTGGTACAGCTACTATGGAGAACAGTATGGAAGTTCCTTAAAAAATTAAAAACAGAGTTGCCATATGCTCCTGCAATCCCACTCCTGGGCATATATTTGGACAAAAGTCGAATTTGAAAAGATACATGCACCCCAATGTTCAAAGCTGCACTATTCGCAACAGCCAAAACATGGAAGCAACCTAAATGTCCATCAACAGATGACTGGATAAAAAAAGATGTGGTGTGTATATTTATATATATATATATATATATATATATATATATATATATATATATATACACACACACATATACATACAATGGAATATTATTTACCCATAAAAAAGAATGAAATAATGCCATTTTCAGCAACATGGATGGACCCAGAGATTATCATATTAAGCAAAGTAAGTCAGAGAAAGAAAAATATATTACTTATATGTGGAATCTTAAAAAGTGATACAGGACTTCCCTGGGGGTACAGTGGTTAACACTCCACGTTTCCACTGAAGGGGACACGAATTCAATCCCTGGTTGAGGAATTAAGATGCCACATGCTGTGTGGAGAGGCAAATAAATAAATAAATAAATAAGTGTTTACAAAACAGAAATAGACTCACAGACATAGAAAGCAAACTTATGGTTACCAAAGGGGAAAGGAGGGGAGGAATAAATTTTGAATTTGGGATTAACAGATACACACTACTGTATATAAAATAAATAAACAAGGACCTACTGCATAGCACAGGGAACTATATTCAATATCTTGTGATAGCCTATAATGGAAAAGAATCTGAAAAAGAATATATATACATATATGTATATATATATATATATATATAAGAATATATATACATATATATACATACATATATGTATATAACTGATTCACTTTGCTGTGCACTGAAACACTGTGAATCAACTGTACTTCAGTTCAAAAAATAAACATGTTTTAAAAAAGGAAAGAAAGTAGTTGCCTCTGGAGACCAGAAACAGGTTGAGTGCGAAGGAGAAGTATTACTGCGATTTAAACATCATCTTTTAAAATATAGATAAAATACAGATGGCAGTATCTGCCTCTGAGGGTTGTGGTAAGTAGAAAATAGTGCACATAAAGAACTCTGAACAATGCCTGACACGTAAGTCTTACCCAATGAGCATAAGCTATAGATACATCCAGCAAAGGAGGCTAGCAGGAGCCCAGAAGAGAGAAAGAAGAGAGGCTCTGAATCACAGACTGGTCCAAAGATGCTCAGTCTGATTTAAAACATACACATACACCCCATGAGCCAGGAATCATGGCAGGGTCTTGGACAGAGAACAACCCCAGAAAAATGTATTCCTAGAAAATTGTCCTAGCAGCTAAGCTGCTTTCTGAAAATGCATAAATCCAAGTTTAAGGATCATGATGTAGGAAGGGGCAACAGAAACTTAGAAAACAATGTTTCAAGAACAAGAGAGTGCCCACAAGGAGATGTCACTTCACATGTAATAGAATAGCTAAGATTAAAAACACTGAAGAAAGAAACTAGAGTACCAACTGCTGGCAAGGAGCACTGAACTCTCATATATTGCCAGTGGGAGTATGCAGCCACTTGGTGAAACTCTTTGGCAGTTTCTTATACACCTACCCTAAGGTGCAGTAATTCCACTCCTAGGTGCCAGGAAAATGACAACTATGTCACAAAAAGACACACACGAATGTTCATAGCATCCTTATTCATAACAGCCAAACCCTGGAAATAACCTAAATGTCCATCAACAGAAGAATGGATCGTCACACCATGATACATTCATACAATGGAACAATACTGGGTAATAAAAAGGAACAAACTATTGAGACACAACACCATGGAGAATCTTAACCACTATGCTGAGGGAAAGACACCCAAGAGTACAGTCATTCAATATGATTCCATTTATATGGGGTTCTAGAAAAAGCAAAACTAGTCTACGATGATAAAAATCAGAACTATGCTTGCACTGGGGGGGCACGGGCGGGGAGGGAGTGACTGGAAAGGGGCATCTCTGAGGTGATGGAAATGTTGGTTTTAATGTCAAGCAGACTACTTTTTTTATTGAAGTATAGCTGATTTACAACATTAATTTCAGCATAGTGATTCAATATTTTTAGATTATATTCCATTTAAAGTTATTATAAAATAATAGCTGTATTTCCCTGTGCTGTACAATATATCCTTGTAGCTTATGTATTTCCTACATAGTAGTTTGTACCTCTTAGTCCCCTACTCCCCCACCCTGCAACCACTAGTTTGTTCTCTATATCTGTGAGTAGGTTTCTGTTTTGTTATATTTATTCATCTATTTTTTTTAGATACCACATATAAGTGATAACATACGGTACTTGTCTTTCTCTGTCTGACTTATTTCACTAAGCGTAATTCCCTTTTTAGGTCCATCCACGTTGCTACAAATGGCAGAATTTCATTCTTTTCTATGGCTGAGTAATATTCTATTGTGTGTGTGTATGTACGTGTATCTTCTTTCTTCATTCATCTGTTGATGGACACTTACTTAGGTTGCTTCCATACCTTGGCTATTGTAAACAATGCTGCTATGAACACTGGGGTCCATGTATTTTTTCAAATTTGTGCTTTCATTTTCTTCAGATATATACTCAGGGGTGGAATTGCTGGATCATATGGTAGGGAAATATTTTATTCATGATCAAAATGGTGGATACATGAGTATATCCATTTGTTAAAACTCAAATTGAAGATTTTATTTTATTTTAAAGACTTCTTTTTTGATATGGACATTTTTTTTGTTTTAATTTTTGGCTGTGTTGGGTTTTTCTTGCTGTGCACGGGCTTTCTCTAGTTGCGGCGAGCGGGGGCTACTCTTCGTTGCAGTGCACAGGCTTCTCATTGCGGTGGCTTCTCTTGTTGAGGAGCACGGGCTCTAGGCACATGGGTTTCAGTAGCTGTGGCCCACAGGCTCAGTAGTTGTGGCTTGCGGGCTCTAGAGCGCAGGCTCAGTAGTTGTGGTGCACGGGCTTAGCTGCTCCGCAGCATGTGGGATCTTCCCGGACCAGGGCTCGAACCCGTGTCCCCTGGATTGGCAGGCGGATTCTTAACCACTGTGCCACCAGGGAAGTCGTGAGGTGGACCATTTTTAAAGTCTTTATTGAATTTGTTACAATATTGCTTCTGTTTTATGTTTTGGGGTGGTTTTTTTGGTTTTATGTTTTGTTTTGTTTTGTTTTGGCCCCAAGGCATATGGGATCTTAGCTCCCTGACCAGAGATCAAACCCGCACCCCTGCACTGGAGGGCGAAGTCTTAACCACTGGACCGCCAGGGAAGTCCCTCAAGTTGAAGATTTTAAATGTGTGCATTTTATCACATGTAAATTTTACCTCACTTTTTTTTTAAAAAAGGCTAAGAAAGAATGAAAGCATGGACAACCTTGACACACGCCGCTAAAAGAGCGAAGGAGAGAAGCAGGTCATTTCCTTGCCACTGGGGGAATGAAAGCCCAATTTGAATGGAATGAGGAGAAAATGGAGCATGAAGCAGAGAGAGCTGGTACAGACAGGTTTTTTAAGGAATATCAGAAAAAAAGAGTAGAACCTGGTAACTCGGTAGAACAAAAAACGACTCACCTGTGAATTAAAATCCAAAAACTAGGCACCATGCTAGGCATAGGACTCCAATTTCCAAACCCAGATGAAATTAAGAAAAAAAAACCCACTTCTAAAAATAGGGAAATTCGGCAGGAGAGACTATAAGGAAAATGAAGAATTCTCAACCCCGTTTTGTTTCAGACACCAATGGGACACTCAGGTTACAGGGGAGTGATTTTTCGTTCCTATCCCCCAATAACGTTATCTTGCATTTGCATAGGATTCAATTTCCAATGAGATTTTATACTCATGTTCTCGCTTATCCTCACAACACCCCTATAGGATACTATTACTCCATTTAAAAAGAGGAGAGGAAAATCATGGTTCAGAGCAGTAAGTGCCTTGCCCAAGGTCACATAGCTAGTCACATAAACCCTCACCTTCTGATTCCAATCAAGATTTTTCCATCATGCTACACCCGCTTCTCTTGGCAAGATTATAGTCTCTCTTTAGTCCAGCCTAGCACACATTTTTTTTTAAATCTGTTTCCCTCTAGAAGTCACCACTATTTTCAATGCAGCAAAAACGTGCAGAAACTGGGTCACTTTCAGTTACAGCTCACAGAATTTTTTAAAAAGGCGGGGGAGGGGGGAGTTATGGATATCCAATTCTAGAATACCTTTAATTGGTCATATCTTAAGCTAGGAACCTGAGCCCCACAAGGACAAGATGCTGCAGTGAATATATGGAGCTTTAAGCATTGCAGCCAGGGAGTCAACTCTGCAAGTCATTCTCAGAAGCAAGTAATGTATTCTACCACTAACATGGCCAGCACAGTGCAAATGTGAGCAAGCAGGCAACCCCACAACTGGGCACTTCACACACCTGAGCACAATGCCTCCCCTGGCATTTCCCTTATTCTTAGTCCCAAACACAAGAGCTAAATATTTTCATTTATGTGCTCAGTCTTTAAAGGTTGAATCAACTCTTCTGCAGAGTTCTATTTTTTAAGTAGTTTCATAAGAGCAGTTATCATATAAATATGTTTGGTAGGTTTGCAGAAAGGAATAACTATTCCAAAACAATACAAATCCTTCATGTGCTATGTTCCTGTGCAATGAAATTTGTATATGAAGGATTAAATCATCTAAATCATTATCTACAAGTCTAAAGATGAACTAGTTTGTAGGACAGAAAACAAGGCATTACTAACACAGATTTCATTTTATATTTTTTTAACCTTGCTTGAGAGTATAAAATTAAATTGAGCCCTGTCTCCAAAGCCAGAGGTAATTAAGTCAGGAGACTGAGCAGCTGGTGGCGTTGCTGCCCGATAGATGAAGGAGCCTCTAAGACACTGCCTGGGACAGCTGGCCTCTTACCTGGATGCATCTGCTCCATGCTTTTCCGCAGTTTGCTGTAGCCATGGCTCAAGGGCACCCTCTGGTAATGAGGCGGGGACGAAGGAGGGGAGGCGAGGGGTGACATCGTGGGAGACTGCGTTTCCTGCTTCAAAGAACCAGAGCAGAGTTCAGAGACGATCACTCAGGGAGCCTGGCGCTCTGAGCTGCAGTTATGAAGTATAACGCAACTCTACTGCCAGTAAGCAGGCTGCTTTAATAAATGGAGGAGATGTTTTCTCAGAAACGCAGCTTGGTTAAAAAGCAGTGTCTGAGGATTCAAAAGTCTCCCAGAGAACAGTCTCGCCGGAGCTCAGTTACCTAAATTACTAAAACAAGCCTGAAACACTTCCAGTTACTCCAATAATATTTTCCTTGGGGAAACGAAAGACACTGATCACATGAAATAACATTCATACTCCCCAATTTTGATCTGTTCGTGAATAGATTCAATTTTCATTCATTAATAAAGGCTCCTATTTCCTGGATTTACACTTATCAAGTCTTCCAACAATGTGAATTTTTTAAAATATTTTAAATGGTTAATGCTAAATATTCTGGGACCTGGCTAGCCAAAGTAAAATGCCAGCTTTTTTTTTATACTGAGAAATTGCAAAACAATTCATTATGGGTAAACTACTCCAATTAGCCTATTCCTAAACACTAGGATGGAGCCTTAATAAACTTTAAATCTCAACTCGAATGTGAACTTTATGTAGGACCCCAGGCAAGACAAGCAACCTTCTAACTCGGCTACTGGGTTTCCTCCTTTTTTTTTTTTAATGCTACCAATAGACTGGTAACTTTGGAATACCCAAGTAATAAGGCAACAGTACTTTTCATCAATATAGAGACTATATAGGTGCTCTTAGTCAAAAATAATAATAATAATGCAATCTGAGATACTAATCAAGTACTCTTTTTCAAGTAAAAGAAAAGAATATTTGCTTTGAATTGTAAGCTCACACCCACAGACTGGGTGGGCCTAGCATAAGCCCAGCCTGAAGTGAAAGGATGTGTCCTCAATCACGCAGCCAGGGGATGGGCCTGGAAAGTTACCAGGGCATCCAACCATCCTGGGACAGTGGACCCTCATTCCTCTCCAAATGCTGGTGGGAAAACATGCCAAAGAGTATTGGCTGAAGATTCTGATACAGGCATACCTCATTTTATTGCACTTCACAGATATTACTCTTTTTTTTTTTTTTAACAAATTAAAGGTTTGTGGCAACGCTGCATCGAGCAAGTCTATTGGCACCATTTTTCCAAAAGCATTTGCTCACTTCACGTCCCTGTGTCACATTTTGGTAATTCTTACAAATATTTCAAACTTTTTCATTACTATTGTATTTTTAAGGTAATCTGTGATCAGTGATCTTTGATGCTACTACTACTTGCTAAGATGACAGCAGTTTTTAGCAGTAAAGTATTTTTTTAATTAAGGTATATACATTGGGGTTTTTTTAGCCCTAATGCTCTTGCACACTTAGTAGACTACAGTATAGTATAAATGTAACTTCTGTATGCACTGGGAAACCAAAAAGTCGTGTGACTCGCTTTATTGTGGTGGTCTGGAATGGAACCCGCACTACCTCCAAGGTATGCGCCTGTACACCTTTTTATCTAAATCCCTAAAATAAAATAAAATAAAATCAATCAATCAATCAATCCCTGAAGAACTAGTTTAAACATATGAGAATTATAAAAGCAACAGAACATGCTACACCTAACTTAAATATGAAACTTCTGCAACGATACCTCAAATATCCAGCATTATCAGGGTGAGCCATATACATTAGTTTTCCAACTTAATCCTTTAATTGTCTTGCATTTGAAAAAATTTTGATTGGTCTTCCTAAACATAACAGATTTCTCTTCCTTATAGAAGATACTATAATTGAATATAATTTGACTTTTCTGCATAATTCAGTATCTTATCTTCATTGGAAGTGTGGGATGTACCTTGATGCCCTGAGGGTTCACTAATGTGTAAGTCTATTTTACCTCTTCTTGATAGGCTCACTCATCTGGAATTTACACTTTGGTCTCTACCAGTCACTATGTGACTATTGCAAATAGTGGTCTAATTTGAAAAGCCCATCCACCCTATTCTTGTTCCGGCTACACATGTAATGGCAGCATTTCCCAACATGGCACTCCAAACATGCTCCCCAAGAAGGGATTCCCTGGTGAAAGGAGTTTAGTACATGCCGATCTCCAGGTCTCTTTATTGCAGGACTTCTCAGGGCTTTTACTGTGCTCATGTGCACTGTGAACGTCTAAGACTGAGTATTTAGCCTTTCCCGCAAGAATAGGCCATGAAGCAGCACTCTCCAAACATATTTAACCAGAGAAACCTTTTCTCCAGGTTTTTTTGGAAGAAAGGACTTATTAAACACTCCTAGAAGTTACATTTCGAAGAACCCATTTGGAAATGGTGATTAGAGACATCAAATAAGTGTGTTAAATCAGTAGCCTTACTTGAGACACAATTCTACATTAAAGTAAGCTCTAAATGGCCCATGGGTGGCTCATGGTAATTTCTATGCATCAGCCTCTTCTCCTTGCTACAAGGAAACTTCAATGGCTCACTTCCAAGTCTATAATTGTAACCCAGATGGTGCAATTCACTGGAAGCTTGACAGCAGCTAAGAGGCACTGCTCTGTGAGGATTCATGGTCAAAAGCAAACAGACATGCCTGATCAGACTATTTACCTGTTTATCCTCATCATCCATTCTTTTGAAGGTATTTTTTTCTGTGATTAAATATGGAATCTGAACTTTAGTTCCATGCAGCTCAGCCATGTTCCCAAACCGGATCTCAGCGTCAGTTTTTGACATCATAAAGCGAGGCAGCGGCAGTTCTTTAGGAGCAGAATCAGAGAAGCTCAAGTGAGACTTTATTTGAAAACTGCAAAAAAGGGAACTCAATGACCAAAAGATGAGTCACTTTTGAGGAAAAATTCCAGAACACTAAATATAGATTAAATTTGATTTCTACACAATAAGGACTCCTATAATAATGTCATAATAGAAAAATGCTACAGTTTAACACGGTATCCTGGCTCAACATTTTTAAATGCTGTTGAATCATCACAGAACAAATTCAGGTTTTGGACAGATCTCCCACTTCAGCCTTCAGTTCGGCACCAAGAAAAAGGATGTGACATCGTAGAAATCAGTATCAAGTGACAAACAGTAGCAGGCAGAACTTATATAGTGCTTATTATATGCCAGGCACTGTATTAAGATCTGCAAATATTAACTCATTTAATCCTCACAACTCACTACAGTAAGATGATCATTAGCCTCCTTTTATAGATGTGGAAACAGAGCAGAAGGAGCTAAGAAGACACAGCTCATCTGTGGCACAGCTGGCTCTTCACCAGCCAGTGCTGCTGACCTACAGAAAGGCCCCTCATTCCCAGGACAAACCTACTGCATACAACACTTTCTCACCTTATGTCATTGCTTAAAGAATTTTCACACTCAATCTCCAGTTGTTTTTTCATAATGGAATAAGGAAAATGGTATAAAGTTAGAGCAATCAGTCCAACGTTCAGTCAGATTCTACTGTCAAAACCATTAGCTACACTCTATGCCACAAAGAGCTGAAACCCAACTGTCTGGTATATTTACTTAGCTTTCAAATTTCTAACAAAACTATTCTGAAAACAGAAAAGCTACTTCGGCACACTTTGAGTTCTCAGCACAGCAAATCACACACAACATAGCACAAGAATGCCAAAAATGGGTATAATATTCTGGATTAGGCATAATGATTTGCATCTGGATCCATTGTTCGGGATAATACTCATCAGTGTGCCTCTGCCTTCCCTTAGCTCCCTCTTCCAAAAACACAGCTGCACTTCCAATGATTGAAGCTGTGCTAAAGCCAGAAAACCTCTTAGCAACAGCAAGCAGTAACCCAGCTCCCCAGGCAAAGAAGGCCCCTGGTTCTCTAATATCCACATCATGTTTATTTTTAGCTGCTATGTCCACATTTGATTTAAAGAAGTAGGCAATATGACAAATCCCTGCGTGATCAATCAGCCAAGGGCCCAAGAGACATAAATAGAATAACCAATCTGGAAAATTAAACCAAGACTTTCCTCTAAAGACAGGATGGCCACCATTTTTAATGTTTTACTCTTCCCTAACCATGGCAGCTCTCCAACACTCAAGGCAGGAATGGACTTCAAAAGAAAAAAGGCAAGAAAAAAGAAAGTCTAGATTCTTAGTAAATCAAATATCAGCTAAGCCTATGGTTCTCTTCTCAGAAAGGTATTTGTTTCAACTCAGTCTGCAAACAGGATCTAAAAAACATGGAACGAGATCACATAAAATAACTTGCACTCTAATCTGCCCATGAGAGGATGATGCTACTTCCAAGCCCTATTTGAGGGAGAAAAGAAGTAAATGCTTGGCATTTGTAAGCTCCCTGACCAGCGTTTCACTGGTGTTCAACAGATAACTCTGGGAACAATGGAACACAAACCTGGCTGATGAATATCAACTATTACACTAGAGCCCCCAGCTGTCCCTTAGGACACCGTCACATCACACGCTCTCCTTCCCTGGCTATGGCATTTCTCCAAAATTGTTCACCTGGGAAAGAACCTCCCTCCCCCCCACCCCCGCCTCCCGGTAGCAAAAGACAAAATACAGCTGAATTTCGCTCGTACTTTCTTTGTTTACAAGGTTTTAAACAACTCTCACTTAACAGAATTGTAACCATATATTATGATATCCCTATCATTGAAAAGGTTAATGAAGGTGCTATTTTTCTTAAGCTGCTGCAAGCTTTTTTTTTTAATGCTGCAAGCTTTTAAAAGTGAAAAGTAAAACTCTAGTTTGTCGATGTTCAGTCTAAATGTTGGTTCCTAGTCATGTGTACACCAAATTTAATAGTGCAACTTTATTAGAAAATTAATCAATAAAGTACCTGCTATCCAGTGATTTATGTCAAGTAATCACAGGAGAAGATTTATTTGTAGTAGTTGTTTAGAATCTTTTCTCCCAAACTGAATTAACACCAGGAAACACATCAAGAGTTCAAATGAAATACTGATAAGGGCCAAGGACACCATGAGCACAGCAATCATTTGTTTCACAATGGCATCTTACGTTGTATTCTTTGAACACAGAAATGCTTTGTATATTAAATAGAAATGACTATTTTTCCCTTCCACAAAGAGAACTATGCCTCTCCTTTTTTAAACATGTGACCCTCTAAGGGAAAAAATCCTTTGTTTTCCCACGTTTGATGGAGTCATGAATATAAGAAATATTTCAATCTCTTCAATCTATTAGAAGAAACATAAGCAGCATAAATGCAGTAACAAATGACAAATTACAAAGTGGCAGCTGTTGTGCAGTGTCCTCCAACGCTATCCACTGGAAATATAATGTCAGCCACATATATCATTGTAAATTGTGTAGTAGCTACATTACAAAAAAAAATGTTAAGTAAAGAAGCCAGTGACAAAAATATAAATACTGCATCGTTTCATTTACATGAGGGATCAATCGTCAAACTCATAGAAACAGAAAGTAGAATGGTGGGTGCCAGGGGCCGGGGGTGAAGGGGAGTGGGGAGTTGTTTAACAGGGGCGAGTTTCCATTTTGCAAGGCGGGGAGATTGGTCGCACAACATGAATATACTAAACACTACTGAACTGTACACTTAAAAATGGTGAAGATGGTAAATTTTATGTTCTATATATTTTGTCACAATTAAAATTTTTAACGTTGAAAAAAAGCACAAAAGATACAGGTGAAATTAATTTGGTATATTTTAACCCAATGTTATAGATTACAGCATGTGATCAAGATAAAAATTAATATAATAGTTTACATTCTTTTTTCAGACTAATGCTTCAAACCCCCATGTGTACTTACCTGTACCACAGACCTCAATTCAGATACACCACATTTCAGGCACTCAGGCGCCGCAGTAGTGTGGCTACTGGCTACCCTACTGGAACAGCACAGTTTGGCTGATGGTTGCTATGAAGGAATATGGACCATTATGGCCAGAAATCTGGATTTGACTAAGAAATACTATAATGTTAAACGTTAACAACTAACTGATTTCTTCTTAAATTACGTAAGGAGGATTTTGTATGGAGGGATGATTTATATAAAGCTTAAGTGTACCACTTGAAGACTTTTAACAAATGTATGTATAAGCTCATAGCAAACACCCAAATTAAGATACATTTCCATCATATAGAATTTGCCTTCATATCGCTTTCTAGTTAATCCCCTCGCCTTGTCTCACTTAGCAACCTATTCTAATTTCTAAATCCACAGATTACCTTTGCCATTATAGAACTTCACATAATGGAATCATACAATATTAATCTTTGTGACCACCTTCTCTGACCAACACTTTGTCTGTGATAATCATCCAATGCACCACATCATCCAAAGACATAGTTCATTCTTTTTCATTGCTATGGAATAATCTATTTTTATGAATATATTGAAATTTTTAAAATCCAGTCTCCTGTGATGAACATTTGGGTGGTTTCCAGTTGGGAGCCATTAGGAATATAGCTGCTGTGAACATTCTTATAAATGGTTTTTGACAGACATGAATTCATTTATCTTGGGGATATACCTATGGACCACATTCAACCTGCTGCCTATCATTATGTACAAAATAAGCTATAAGGATGTATTGTACAACAGAGGGAATATACTCAATGTTTTATAATAACTACAAATGGAGTATAACCTTAAAAAATTGTGAAACACTATACCGTATACCTGTAACTTATATAATATTGTACATCAAGGTATACTTCAGTTTTAAAAAACAGTATTACCATTAAAAAAAGAATGGGTTTTACATTTTTGAATGTTTGGAAAACATCAAAAGAAAAATATTTCAGGACGTGAAAATTATGAAATACAAATTTCAATGTCCATAAATAGTTTCACTGGAACACAGTCACACTCTTTTGTTTACATATTGTCCACTTCTGCTTTCACAGTTCTGGGGCAGAGTTGGATATTTGCAACAAAGGCCATATGGCTCACAAAGCCTAAAATATCCACTACCTAGCCCTTTACAGGAAAAGTTTGCTGACCCCTGTCTTACACAATACAGTGGTTCAAGTAAAATGTAGTCTTACTAAAACAATACAGTTGCATTTAATGGAAAAATATTTTACATTAATTGACTTTAAAATTTTAAATAATTTAAATTAATTATTAATTTAATTAAAAATTCAATTCCTCACTCGCACTACACACATTTTTAATGCTCAATAGCCAGCCGCACGTGGCTAGTGACTACCATATGAGACAGCACAGTTTAGATGGTTGGCCAAAAAACACTACAAGGCAGCTACTATTGGTATACCCCTTCTCCAGATGAGCCATTTAAGCTCAAAGAGATTAAGAAACTTCCCTGAGGGTACACAAATAAAGAGTGATGGAGCAGGGATTCAAAATCAGGTGGTCTACTGCTAGGGCCTACACTCTCAGCCACTAGACTACACTGTCATCCTGAAAATTAAAATAGTCTTTGTATTGCACGTTTGAACATTCAGGCTGAAACTGTGGCATTTCAGAGGGGGAAATGGTTTAGAGAAAATCTACTGGAATTATCCACATCTTACAGGTGAGGAACTAAGCCCAAGAAGGGGAGGGTGGGTCTTGTCTTACTCATGCAGCATAATGGCGGCAGAGCTACAGCCTTCACAACACTCCTGGCCTCCTGGGGCTCCCTTCTCTTCCCACTACTTTTCGTCGCCTATTCGTTTATATCAGTTACTTATAGGTTAACAAAAATTAATGAAAACGATGTTCAGTAATTCCAAAGTGATGCCAAACCCACACATTTTCCTTAAGT